AGAATCTATCAGTATATACAAGTAGAGAGTACCAACAATTTGCAAAGGATAAGAGGGGAGGGCAGGAAAAAATATGCTCATCAGAACAGCACCCATAGCCACACTCTCAAGGAAATGCCAAAAATGCATGAAACTGCATCGATTCATAGCAACAAACAAGTTAGAGCAGTTTTCAGCTCCACAAGGAACTGGTCTTTTATAAAACTAATGGACCTTAACTTCTCATTTACTCCAGAAACATAACACAGATCGCCCACAAGTATATATTACAACTCATTTTTCCTAAAGTCACTGTAAAAGCTGCAGACAAAGACAAAGGAAACAAGAAAGCCGAAGAGGAGCTGCAGATGATGTAATTATCCTTGCTAATGAAAGAATCCTGGCATTATACTCTTATGAGCCCTGGCTCTACGACACCAGGGCTACTTAACATAGTGGTACTTGGACTGGTGTTAGTCCACAAGCCATCAGCCTCCAGTCCCTGGCACATTTCTAGGAACAAAAGAAAAACATAGACATTGGAACAAATATGGTACCAGTCCCAGGCATGCTGGATTGGCAGGGCGGGATATTGTGGGCATCTCACTTTAGCCTCACATTTCACATTCTTCAATATACCAGCCACACGGACAGCAGAGGTCGCTGTCACCTATATGAATTGCAGCTACCAAGAGATTTTAAAACAAGAAAAGACCCCACATAAATGTACACACAGGAAGAAGCTAAGTATGCAGGCCTTGACTGCAGGCAGCCCATAGCCTAAATCCTGCATCCATAGTTTAATTTCTAATTCTAAAATTGAAATTTCCAGGACAGTGGGTGACAGTGACAACCCAGTGCAATTTCCAGGGTGGTAGTTTTACATGCAGACTAACATTTTACATATACAGTTGTGTCTTCCTTTTCGCGGACGTGGAATCCGCGGTCTTGCTCTTCACGGGTGGGACAAGTGCCTATTAATATAATGGTGGCACACGCCTGTGCACCGCCGTGCACTCCTGCCACAGGCACACATCCCATTATTTCCTATGGGACTCAAATATGTGCGTGTCGCCATTCTCGCGAGGGGATCCAAAACGGATCCCCCGCAAATTAGGAGGGGCTACTGTACTCATGTATAAGTCTAGAAAATTAGGTAAAACAATTGATCCAAAAATACTGAGGGCCTGAACAGACTGCCAGAAATAATCCAGCTTGAGACCACTTTAACTGTCCTGGCTCAATGCTAGGGAATCATGGGAACTCTAGTTTTATCTGAGACATTGAGCCTTCTTTGTCAGAGAGCTCTGGTGCCACAAAAACTACAGTTCGCATGATTCCCTAGCACTGAGCCAGGGCAGTTAAAGTGATCTCAAACTGGATTATTTCTAGCAGTCTGTTCAGGCCCTGAATCTACTTATCCATGGGTCAATGTACCGGTAACTACTGTACTTTAACTCTTACTTTTTTAAAAAGGAACCATCCCTTATGAAAGGCAAGAATCTGTCTTAGAAGCACTGACCCCGCTCTGCTTTCTCATCTATCCAGCCTTTAGTATGAACACAAACAGTTATGCCGGCTGAAATTTTGCACTTTGGCATTGTTTTCCTTTGCTTCATTCTTTACATCCTTTGTTACATGCCCCTAAGTTTTACCGTTGACATATCCACAGGTCATATCAAAATCCATCATTTTGGCCCCAAAATCTGCCCTCGACTTATACATGAGGTTGACTTATAGCTGAGTATATGCAGTAAGAGTTCCTGGATTTCAGCCCACTTCATGAGATGACAGATTTGAAGAAATGGGCAGCTGTCCTCAAAAGCTGTTGTCAAATAAAACAGATTAGTCTTTAAGGTGCCATAAAACTCATAATCTGTGTGGTGTAGTGCAGTGGTAGTCAAAGTTTTTACCTTTCGGACCCCCCCTCCAGCTTTACATCTGCAAGTGGATGTCATTCCCCCCCCCC